ATTAGAATTGACAGAATATAGTTGGATGAACACAAAATATCTTTTATAATACGACAATTTCAGACGCTTTTCACGTGCCATTTATTTTTGCGTTGATTTGCATCGGGCAGGAGTATTTTGTCAATGCCTATCTAATATATCAGGCCACACTCTGCCTGTTGGGACAAGGCATTGGTAGGTGCCTAAATGTGTATTTTTTTACAATTAGCTAACCTCAGGATGGTCCAAGTGTGGCAAGGGTTCCTGTCCAAATTGTGGTTTGCAATATATAGTTGCCGTTACAAGCCACCAAGTTGTTCAGGATGCAATTTTGAGCTTGGAGGATCATATGTCCCTAAAAAAAAGCCTCGTCCATTGGTGCCTAAGTGTACCTTGGTGGTGCAGCCATCAGACGGGTTATCAATCTACTCGGTTAATACCAGTACCCATGATGATCGATGTATTGTGGTTCGTGAAGAGGCTTCATCTATGTGTCAGCATCACCTGTGTAAACAGAATAGAGCCATTCATATTAACAGCCAAAAAGTGGCAAGCTTTAGTTGTCAGCATTTGGAATCCACCAGAGATTGTACAACTCCTCTTCAGACATTCAATGGGATATCAGATGAGGTCATTTCCAGTTATCTCTGTGATGATGAAACAAAAAAAACCCTGGCAGAAGTGGCAAATGCATCAAAGGCACAGTCATTTCCAGTTGTGTGTGCATGTTTCTCCAACTATGTATTGCGTCTTTGGAATGGCAACCACAAACAACACTGTTGGATATTGCCATGTCAAGGTAACTGAAAAGGAAATTAAATGCTGTTCCAAAGACTGCAAAGGTATGTTGAAGAGCAAGCAGCAAAAGTCCCGAAAAGTTTGCACCCACATCCATCTTTTATTGGCTCTTGGCATTTTTACACACAACGAATGTGTGTCAGCAGACCTTCCCCCCCAATAGTGCCAGACAGTTCCTTGACAACAATTGACAGAAGGGGGAGCAAGTCTCGCAAGGCAACCATGGGACTTAAAATGAAGTTAAAGTTGCCATATGTCATTCCAAAACCCATTATTCAGGCAGCAGGTAAAATGGATTTTTCCGGGTGGCCAGAGCAGTTTGAACCAGACCAAACTTTGTGTGATTTGTGTAAAAGTCCTCTTGGTCAGTCCAAGCCACACCCAAATCAACGTGGGCGATCAATCATAATGACCAATGGATGTCCATTCAAAACAGTCAAAATGCTAGTCAAAGATTGCTCATGTTGCTTTGCTATGCACCAAGTGTTTCCCTACACATTAGGTAAGTATATACAGTTCAATATTTTTTTGTAGTATAGTAATTCTATGTTGACAGGTGAGTTTCTATTTCACAGTGTACATGTTGGCTCAGGGACAAAGGTTAATTTGATTCAATTTTATTGCCTTTTAGGTCTGTTTAATATTAGTGACAAGGTTCTGGTGGCACTTGAAATTCTATTAGACTTCCGAGAATTGTTCAAAAGAGGAGTGCCAATTTCTGTAGCCATAAAAAGTAAATTAGCTGTGATGGTCCAGAAAGTTGAGGTAATTTCAAGATGATTGTGTATGTACTATGCAATAGTATGCTGTACAACTGCCTAGAATCTGTCAGTGTCAGATTAGTCTTAGTATTTACAATAGGACTAGTCTAATAAATTGGCAAATCGTCTGGTATGGGAATTTGTTAAGGCCCTGTTAAACGATGCAATTTTTCTTGAAACTTGCAACTCCACTCTTGACTGATGTAACATTGGCAAAGTGTGACTTCACGAATTAAAATCTCTCAAGAGTAGCATTGCATTGCAAGTTGCAAAAAAAATTGCACTGTGTAACAGGACCTTTAGTCTTGCTCTAAATATTAACAAAGTATCCTGTTGTATTTATTAAGGAATCGCCAACAGAAAATGAGTTGGAAAGTATTGCTACACATTTGTACAATGGGTTTTATTGCTTTGAGGCAATAACTGAACGCAATATGGATTCAGGTGTTTGTGGAATTTGTGGTACTGTTGGTGAAGTGTATTTTGGGGATAGGAATGAAAAAAATTGCTGCAGCATTAGCGAGGTAAAGCATTCATGGACCAGAATGCCACATGAGAATTTTAGTAACATTTTGGTCTTTAGTAGTGTTCAATTATTAGAATGTCCTTGCTGGTCTTTAGCCTGTTCTCAGATCCCTCTGATTTGCCAGGGCTTCTTACACAAAATATTCGCATTTTCATTGTAGATTGATTACTCACCACTACAAGATATAGATTGTGAGGAAGATGATCCTATTTCCTTTGAGATTTCTTGGAGAAATTAAAATACAATTTGGTGGAAAAGACAACCTACACACGATCGGAAAAGGCCACTATCACTTTTCCACCATTCCACCAGTCATAGCCCCATCATTGAGAGGTACAAAATTGTTCAACACTGAAGGGGAAAAAAAGTGCTTTTCTCAAGCAATATGGCAAACCTAATAAGGTTTGTAGCATTACTCATAGTACAATTTAGCCATTCAATTAAAATAATAAATGCAATATATAATACAGCTTGTTTGTGACCATGAATGGTTATTTGGACCAGAATTGATTTTTTAAGTGAATTTAATTATGCATCTGTTGCACAGGTGATCCAGCTCTTTTGCATCATTGGATATCCACTCAAGTAGTTGACATGAACACAATTGAGCAATGCAGTGTCGAGAAGCTAAAAGAACTTTGTCATTTGTGTAATATAGCAATTTCAGGCAAATCAAAGGTATTTACTGTAATTTACGATTGTGACTTGGTATTAATTTGCACGAAATAACTTGCATTTTATTTCTTCGCGTCAGGCAAGAATGCTCATTGATTTGCGGTCATTGTATGAAACCTTGCTGGTTGGTTCATGTCCTTGCCATGGCTTCACAAAAGTGCCAGGGCATACTGGTGGTTTCTACCACATTGTTTGTCGCCATGGCGTAAGTATAGAAATATTTCACCTGCAATGCAACTCTACTTTTGAGACATGTAAATTACAAAGTACAACTTATTTCGTATTGTTCTCTCAGCATATCGAACATCTTCACTGACACTAATTAACATCTCTCAAGAGCAGAATTGCATTGCAAGTTGCGAGAAAAGTTGCACCCTGTAACAGGGCATTTATCATCTTGTTTTCTTAGACAACCGTAGCCCTAGTCTTAGACGTATACAGTGTATACCATTTAGAGCATTTATAAAATTTACATTTATAGAATTTTTACTCTGGGTGTTCTAAAAAATAATCCTTTTGGGTGTCCTTTCCTTTCAGGTAACCGCAGCTTCAAAGTTTCTGACTTTACAGGAGTCAGTAAGACATGCTGCCGATCTCTATTTATCATTTAAGCATATTCCTCTTGTTTTTCTTTGCGACACGGCTTGTGGGTTTGTCAGGCACTTAGAGTGCCGGGTCAGTAAAGAAATGACCGAACAGCTATGGAAAGATAACAGAAGGGTTTTGAGGTACCATCGTTGGATAAACCACCATCAAAGGTATCGTTTACGAAAAATCTACATATTACTGGTGTATTGTGCACATTCATTGCCCTGCAACATTTTTGTTCAGTCAAGGCTAACTTAAGATATGACTGGAAAACAGTTTAGAATATTCTGAAAACCCATAAAATGGAACAAATAAATTATTAATTTTGTCGTCATGACACTTCTAGGAAATGAGTGTCCCTATGCTGACAACAGCAGAATACAGAAAAAGTGACAATGATATGATACAGGTGGAGGATGGTAGCATGATTCATCCATTGACAGGCACATCCAGGAGATATGTTTTAGGTGACAGATTTCACACAGCAAGCAATCCTCACAAGTCACCCCTTTGTGAATATCACAACATAAATCTTTTGTCTCAGTCGAACACGATAAAAACAAGCTATCAAGAGTCCGAAAACAACCGAAAGAATGTGCGACGGTTACGAAGCTCGACAATGCAAAATTTTCCACACACTATTTTTATAACTTTTTGATGGATTTCTATCAAAATGAGGAAATAGTAAAAAAGCAACACGACGTAGCTTCGAGACAGCTAAAACCTGGGCAGATGTTATGCAGGAATTCATATATGCAATTTGTGATAAAAGATGGTGAAAAATAAGCATTAGGGTTATTACTCATCGCGCGCTTGTTGTTACGTTGGGTAGGTGGAGCTCATCAGTCTTGGAAGACAGTCCACCTAGGAGAAGGAAAACTCTGATTTAAAACCCCCGGACTCGTGCAATAAATGGGTCAGGCTGTCCATGTCGGATTCATTGATGCTGCTAATAATTATTGCAATACTTAATGTTTCCTAGGCATGCTGACGAGCCCTGAGATAGGGCAAAACAGCCATTATACACGAATTGTTATACATAGTATTATTTATTGGATCTAGTTTTCATAACTTTTCATATCTTTAGCAAGCAACTGGACGGTTTATTCGTTCTTTAATGTTTTCAATTAAATTATTTTTAGATTTCTGTTTGCAGAAGTCGCACAGCCTATAATGAAAAAAAACAACTTGTTTGAACGTCAATCATATTTATAGGACGTTGAAGTATTAACATTACTGTAAATGTATTGACTTACCACTTTCCTTTAGGTACTCTTTCAATTCCTAGGCACTCCTGATGGTAGTAGCCTTTACCTGGACACTATAGTTATGGTTGAAAAATAAGCAGTTATTGACCGACATTAAGTTTTAAGGAAACTATTAGTGGGATACGAGATGTAGTATCGTTTATTTTACAGATAGTGGAATGAACATAGAAACCTCAACCAGACAACATAAGATTGCTTTTATAAATTTCTCGTACATAAGGTTCTGGGACAAGAAACTCTCGGAACTGAGAAAATATATGCGAGCTTAACTGTTTTACTGCATTTGAGCACAATGCAAAATCGAATCTAGTCTATATGTACTATTTTATACATACGTTCTTTTTGTTTGTGGTTTCACATATCAGCATCATGTCCTCCGATTCTTTATCTCTTTCCTGGAACGATTATGGTATATACATCATTGTATATACATTGTATATACATCGTGCAACTTGCTCTTAATTCAGAACTGCGTGACACAAAGTTCAGAAGTTCTAGCCGGTAAGAGAACTTAGGGGGAAAACTAATGTAAATAAACTGATCAATGATGATAATGTATTTTCCTTTAATGCTGGTATCATGCATGAATAAAAAGGACTTAGACAGGAATTGCACTGGTCCAATATGAATTCGGGGACACGCAAGTTTCCCGTCCGAAAGTTACCGTCTCGTCCAAACAGTGGGAAAATTATGCAGATATTGAAAAATTGTATAAGTACGTCAAGAACTAGATGTATGATTTACCTCTTTGCATGAAACCATTTGTATACTTTAATTTTGCCGGAATTCGGAGGACATGATAATCCACTCGTCCCAGCAGTTGTCCCAACACTTTTATTATCAGATCGTGTAGAGCCTATATGTGATTTAAAAAAAGAAAATATGCTCATCAAAATGTTGATGCAAAAAGTGCATGGATTTGGACAGACACACTTGTTAATCAGAACTTCTTTTACTTACTCCGAGGAAGAACGCCAATAGCACCTTCTGCAAATAATCGCTTTCTGGTGTGCGATTCACCTGTAATTAGTTAAAAGGCATAGACATATTTATGTTATATAATATATATATTATATATACAGTAATTTATATAATCGTACTTGCAAACCACACAAGACACATCGTATATCGTTTACCTCTTGCAGGCATTTCATTTGCTTGCTCGCAGACGTTTTGATCGCCAGTTGCTATTGGGGTTGAATCGGGAATTTTGTCTTGGGAAGTTCTCACGTCTGTTGTATTGTGATCTAAGATAATTGGAAAGAGCAAAATAACGTAAATGAATTGTATGCCGGGCAGCAACAGGTATTGCATTGAGTCAGGTGCACGCAACTGTAGTAACGAGCATAAATATTCGCATGCAAGCTGAATAAGTCAAATAAAACGAACCTATTTCGGGTCTCTTTATTATTTTTTGCGCGACTTCAATGGCCTGTAAATTAATCACAGAAAAACTTGTAACGCTTAAAACTTTATAACATCGTTAAAAAAACATTAAAAAAACTACAAAAGCATCAAAACTCGTTAGTAATTCGTTTTGATAATTTAATATGACATACCCAAGCAAATGTTTTCCTTTTTCTTGGAGTCAGGTTGTTATATCTAGCCTTTGTGTTCGGTGTAAGTTTCTATTTGAATAGCCAAGGATACACCGTGAAACACAGATTAGACAAGTCGTTAAACTGCTCATACAATCTCCTAACTGAGTAAGCCTGCATACCTCTGTAAAACTGAAGTCGAGCTCCTCTTCACTTTCGGTAGGTGTAGTTGTATTTTCGCGATATTGCATGACTTGACTATTTTTAAATGCTATACAAATGTGTTATTAAAGGTTTCAAAAAATTTAATATGCTGATGAAATACTCAAATAGTAATCCTCATCTGATTCTGTTATTTCTGTATACCTTCTAACTTTATCCTCAACTCGTTTTCGAGAGTGTCCAACCTTTCGCAACCTTCGTCCGATATTGTTGTTGCTGGATTGTTCATTTCTTCCATATCACTCTCATTGGGGGCATCATCCCGAATTCCACTGGCTAATGAGTAATATTGTTAGAAAAACGATTACATTCAAGATACAAAACAAGCCTAAACTTCGAACCAGAAAGAATTGCATAGAAACTTTATTTAAAACTTTCTTACCATACGCTATCATATGTTGCGTGAATGGCATCAGTTTCCCCAGAGGAATTCGGTACGCTCTTTTCTGGCAAACGTGTTTCCTTTTAATCATTTGCTCCAAGGTGCATTCCCTGTCTTTGCCGAAGTATATCCCTATTGTCCCCGGCTCCCGTACAAGCGTACTTTGCAATTCTTTGAATTCCTATTAAAACAAACATTTTGTGAAATGCAGTCACAAGACCGCGTTAGACTCCAACACTGTACGTGTTACTCACTGTATGTGAAATATCGACAAAACTGTCGACAGCAGTTGACAGTAGCGCAATGCCTGGAACCTTCATCCCTTCGATGTTGTTGACAGTAACTTTAGGGTGCAGCCATGTAAGAATCTTAAAAGAGATCAGCAAAATCTGTGAATGTTATATCCAAGGAAATCGAACACTGTGTATATGGCGCCATTTAATACTTTATTTTGTCCGGAATTTTTTTTATGTAAATAGAAAAATGAAAGAAAACAAACCGGGTCTTTTTCCTCGGCTATCTTTTCAATGATGTAAGCTTCTAGCCTTTGCATTGTTGAACGTATGCTTACTGTCTGCACCTTTAATAACTCGCCGCATGCAAACAATACGTAATCTTTGGTGTTCGCTTGGTTACCACACGAGAGACGTAACTAGAATGAGAAACATAAGTCATTTAAAAATGAACTCTATTATTGAAAACTAGTCCGATCTATTTTTTGCGAGTTATTTGAGTTTCACATACCAGAGCATTTGCGACAAGTACCGCGGCAATACCAGACAACCACCTTGCCTGCACCTTCAGGTCGTTTTCATCGAAGATCGCTTGGACGACCTCTTCGACAATTTCACGCGCATGTTCAAAAACCTCAGCCCATAACTCCAGGTATTTAATTGCCCAGACAAGCAAAATACCCTATATAACAATGACATATTGGTCATGGATTTTGAAGGTATAGTAGCCTAAAATAACTTATGATTAAGTTGAAGTACACGACGTTTACATTTCCATATAGACTAAAATATACCTTGTTTTCTTGCATGAACTCTCGCATAACCTTCAGTTGCTTGTCGTTAAACTTGGCTTGTTCATTCCGTTCCTTGTTCCAGCTCACGTAATTAAACCTAATAACTCTCCCTACTAATCTACAATGAAACAGATTTCGAAGGTTAATGTTAATAACGTAATTTCAGTTTAAGAATTAAAAGACAATTCATTAATAATTGCATAAGTGTACTACCGGGAAACTTCGGGAGAATTCGTCGATATTAACGTGGCGGCCTTGATGGATGTCATCCCCACCTTATTTGATCCAGACATCAGTCGCCCTTGTGCTTGCAGCAGAAACTCGTTAAAGTTAACATTGGGTTTAGGGTCATCAATCATTATGACCCCAGTCGTTCTCGATGCTATCTCTTGCATTTTCTTTCTAATTAAAATAATTGAAGTCTGCTTTTCAAACATTTGCGAAAAAATTCTTTTATACACAACGTATAATTTTAACGTGAAACTCACGTAGATGTCCACATGTCTGGGAGTCTCCACCACTTAGTAACATTACGTGCAATCGATTGGGAATTCCAACACCCCGAGCAAGGAGATTTAGACTCTCCGATTTCCCTATGCTCCTTTCTTCGGAGAATATCATGCCAATAGAACTCTCTCCTAAATGACGAAGACGTTAAAAACAAAGGTAACTATGAGAAAAGAAATTGAAACATGGTAATACTGTCTATGGTAGTACTGTACAGTGAAGTTATTTACGTCTTTCACTTTCCGCGATTGAGCTACCTGTTCATTCAAACAGTAACTTACTCCAAACATCTTCAGGATTGAGAGCATTCCTCAGCAACCGAGCAACAGTGAACGCTGTTGCCAGCAAAAATGAGTCCATATTAGGGCCCAAGCATTGCGAAAGTAGTATGAACCTTACAAAAAAATGAATATATAATTAAAAAATTATTTGGTATAATCGTTTATGTAGTCCAAGTGACACTTGAAATAGTTGGCCAAAAAAGTCTAGTAGTGCGCTGTAGATGTTTCGTAGCCCAAAAACACCGCATTTTTACCTTGCAACAGAACGATTCAACTTTGCGTAATCGTTCAGTAAGCTTTCGTTAATTTGCAATTGGTGGTTTTTTAAAGACTTGTCCAATATTAGATACTTATGATCAATTGGATCTAACACTTTACCATTCTCAATATGCACCTGTAATAATTGAAATTGAATAATTAAATAAACTAATAAAGAGAACGTTCCCAGTGGCTAAACAAAATGCTTTCAGTTGGAGAAGGGATATAAACTAAACGCAAACTTTAGAAATCAACAGATCTCAATATTCTAGTTTTGGTTGTTTCGTTTTAGAATAGTTATGTTTTTCTTTCAAATGCACAACTAGGTAAATATCTATACAAGCGTAATACAACATACATCATTGGAAATAATCCAGTAGTTATTCCCTTGGTATCCCATGAAACGCGTTTCATGGAAAACCCTTTTGTTCTCCTGTTGGGAGAAGTCTTCTTTCAGGTAGCAGGCGTACGAATGGACGACAGCTGACGTCACGTGCGGCCCCAATAAGAACGTTCCTTCTCCATAAGCAGCTCTTAATGAGTCAATGAAACGTTGCTTGGAGTCGAAACAATTGACGTTCAATACGATAAGTCTGAAAAAATAACCAGATGGCACATGCAATTGTATCGTTCGCGTAGTCTTTGAAAGCTATCTACTTCTAAACTATTCATAAGAACATGTTTATACTTAAAAATCCGGCACATTATAATTAATCCTCGGAAATAAGAAGAAATTGGCAGAAATTGGTCAAAACGTGAGCACTGGAAAACTAATTTTTATAGAGAACTGAGCGAAATTTTCTTTCGAGAAAAAGGCGATCAAAACTTTTGCGGGTATTTTAGTGATGCCAGATTTTTCCACCTCCTACTTCTGTAAGCCTGTTCCTTACGCCTTTGCTAATTGCTGTTTGTGTTTTTTTATTAATCTTAAGGTGTGAAAATAATTTCATTTAATATCAAAGCAAAAAAAGTATATTATCAAATATTACTTTTGTATCCCGATACATATTTTATGTGTATCTATATAGGTGCCATGATAATGTGCCCTAATTATCACACATGCCGCTGCATCGGAAACGCATTGTGAAATTAGTATGGACAATGACGCGGTTGTTTAGAGCCTATATTCATTGTGTAAACTGGCTATATACGATGATGTGCATATTTAAAATACATTTCGTTTAGCGTCTAGTTTATTCCAATTGAGTAACTGTTAATCGTATACATCTAATATCGTATGTATGGAAATGCACAAGTCTGCGCAAGGACACAACAGGACCATTTTCATACTAAAACAAGAAACCACCCGGTACTTTAATGAGTTGCGAAGAACTCGTATAAAAATCCCATTTACAATAAGCTTATGTTGGCCTAGGTTTACACTTTTGCCTTATTGTAGCGGCAGTTTGCGAACAAATTTACTGTTCTTATTCATTCGAATCGTTTGTGACGTTTAAACAACGCATCATTTCAGCTGCGACTTATTTTCGCTCATATATATTGCCCTAATGTGTATATACAACTTCAGTAGTTCCATTTGTTTTTATACACGAAAAACTATATTGTGCACGCGAGCGTATTTACCATGCATAAAAAACTCCAGTGTGCGGAGAAACAATAAATGTATATCGTTTAACACTACACAAACCTGATTGTAGTTTCCTCATCTTCGGAGGCTGAACCACAACAGCAAACCCAATGCCCAGCAGAATTTTCTTCTTCTTTCAGCTTTAGCTTCCCAAATATTTTGAGCGAGAAATCCCCAAACATGGAAAATTTTTTCCCATAGTAAGTTTTGTTGCCAGCCACACAAAACATTGTTAAAACACTTTCAATCTACATACAAAACGAAGATCATATTAATATAGGGATACCAATTACCATATTCTCAATGTTATTGAAAAATAAAAATCTCGTTGCTCGCTTTACTAACCTCAGTGTCAGAAAGATTTATATACGTGCCGAAAGGTCTACAAACTTTCCCACTTGCCAAATAGTGAACTTGCTAAGAGTCGAAGGAGAAAGAGAACGCAAGCATATGATAACTGTTATATATACCCAGTGCTTCCACTTTGGAAAATCAGAAAATCCTTTTTTCTCTCCTTATTTTCACTGAAAATTCCTTTAAAAAATTGTGAAATTTCCTTCACATTTCCTTCAAGCAATTAAAAGAAATTATGTCGAATATGCTCTAAAAAAGCCTTTTCCCAAAATACGATTATCGTAATGTTCAATTTTATCATTGCTCTAAAGTCTGAAAAACTCTGAGTACAATTATACTTTGTAGAGAGCTAAAACTATAAACAGAATTGCATAATTCAAAATATGCCCGTAGCTTCAAATGTCATAGTTTTGGCCTCAATTTACCTTAAATGAATCAACAATCAAAACTTGCAATTAAAAATTTATATAAATTACGTGCTTATAAAAGCATGAAGGAAAAAGGTAGCTACTTAGAAAGTTTTAGTCTTTTAGATGTAATTGTTATAATTTATTTTACACAATTACTATGATTTATACAAAATAGGTATTAAACGAAGCATTTCAAGTAAATTAATGGCATTTATTCCATTTATTAATTATTTTTCGGTTAATAAGTGTTATGCGCAAGGTCTATTTAGTGAGATTTAGACTTATTTTACCACTTTTTTTTCAAAACGATGTAAATATTACTAATTTTGGTAAAATTTTGATATTTCATTCAAATTCGCTTCGTTTTTCTAGAATTTCCCTCAAATTTCCTTTAAAATTTATTTCCTTCAAATTTCCTTCATCTTACAAAAAAATCCTTTTAAAAGGAAATTTCCTTCAAAGTGGAAGCGCTGTATATACCATACGAAGATCACATGACGGCATAAGGTTAATCACACTTAATTAATGACACTTAATTAATGACAAACCATCTATATGGAGTGTAATATGAGACGGAAGGTGCATGGTAGCATATGATGGCAGGAAGTGCAGAAGTATATAATGAGGATATTACTGTGAAACCTTGTAATGTGTGTAAGTAAAACTTGTGAAACGTGCAAACTTCATGATTGCTTTCAAAGCAAAACTGTTGGTTTTTTTATGTTACATACATATACACACATCAATCGTTTTATTTCGTTTCACTGTTTTGAGTACGTTTTGTATTTCAAAGCAATGTTTGTGAATTGTGACATCCTCTAATATAGTTACTAGGTGACGCTGTCCAAGTTGTCAGGGAAAAAATGTCAAGTTTTTCAACGGCTATAAATAGACCACTTCAAAAATAGCGGCTATTAATCGCTATATAGATGTGTGACTATTATTAGAAGTATTAACAGTCACAAAAATGACAGTTGCCCTTGACAACTTGGTCAGCTTTCCCTGGCAACATTTCAGATGACGTCACAAACATTGATCTCACTGCTGCAAAACTTAAGGGCCTAATTCCACGGGCACTTTTTCTCCGCGAAATATTTCGCCTGTTTCTTTTGAATTTCGACCACATTTTAAATTTCGCCTGTTTCTTTTGAATTTCGACCACTTCATTGCTCACAATTCAAGCAGGCGAAATAGTTATAGTAGTTAGTTAGTTAGTTAGTTAGTTAGTTAGTTAGTTAGTTAGTTATAATTAGTTATGGTTAGTGAGTTGGTCATTGTTAATCAAATTCGCATTCTGACCCAATTTTTTCCCATACCTGGCCTTTATAATGTCACAAAGTTTACAAAGCTTACAATGTAAAAGTTTACGAGGTTTACAGAGTGCGATTTAACGTTAACAGTTTTGTTTTCACTGAATAATCACATACACAACATGTTTTTCAGGATATTGTCTTGTATATTTAAGGTTCTGCCAGTTCCTTGAGATCAAATCAATAAAGATATCAGATATCGCGATGGGCGAATCACTGAAAAAAAAAGTGTGCGAGATTTGCGGATTTCGAAAATCGATAGGGATTTTTACAAATTTTTGTGATAATTTTTTTTAAAGTATTCTTGTGACTTTATATGGATTTTTAGATCTTTTTACGGATTTTCAGGAATTTGTAGTGATTTTTAATGGACTTTTAAGGGACTTTTTAGCCTTTAGCTTATGGAATTTTTTTATCGGGGGGCGTACGACATTTTTGAGCGATACACCCCTCGATAAATCTCAATATCATCCGCATAGCCCAGCAACTCACTTTTCCTGATCGCATAAGCTAAATCGTTCATAAAAACAGTAAACAGCATAGGCCCCAAAATACTGCATTGTAGTACCCCAGCTGTCACACCCATCCAATTTGAGTATGCCTCCCTAACTTCACCCGTTGACTACGACTTGACAGATAACTTCGCAAAAGGTTTACTGCTTTATAGCCCAAGCCATAGAATTTCAGTTTTTCCAAAATAAGTTCGTGTCGAAGACAATCGAATGCTTTACTCAGATCCATAGCAACAGCCCCAATCTTATTATAACTGTGATAACATAGATAAACTTCGTCTAGTTGACGAAAACCGACCAAAATCCTGAATCAAGCACATGCCGCAGCCATCTTGCTTTTGGAGGTTAGGGGCCACGTTGCTCTTGTTCAATTCTCACATTGAAAAATAAAAAAAAGAGCAAAAGAAAGTGTGCTACGACAGCTACGCTTGCTACGCTTGCTACGACTGCTATGTTTGGTACGACTGCTACGCTTGCTACGCTTTCTAAGCTCTCTACGCTTGCTACGCTTGCCACGCGTGCCACGCTTGCCACGCTTGCCACGCTTGCCACGCTTGCAACGCTTGCCACGCTTGCCACGCTTGCCACGCTTGCCACGCTTGCCACGCTTGCCACGCTTGCCACGCTTGCCACGCTTGCCACGCTTGCCACGCTTGCCACGCTTGCCACGCTTGCCACGCTTGCCACGCTTGCCACGCTTGCCACGCTTGCCACGCTTGCCACGCTTGCCACGCTTGCCACGCTTGCCACGCTTGCCACGCTTGCCACGCTTGCCACGCTTGCCACGCTTGCCACGCTTGCCACGCTTGCCACGCTTGCCACGCTTGCCACGCTTGCCACGCTTGCCACGCTTGCCACGCTTGCCACGCTTGCTACGACTGCTACGCTTGCTACGACTGCTACGCTTGATAGGCTTGCTACGACTGTTACGCTTGATAGGCTTGCCACGACTGCTACGCTTTCTACGCTTGCTACGACTGCTACGCTTGCCACGCTTGCCACGCTTGCCACGCTTGCCACGCTTGCCACGCTTGCCACGCTTGCCACGCTTGCCACGCTTGCCACGCTTGCCACGCTTGCCACGCTTGCCACGCTTGCCACGCTTGCCACGCTTGCCACGCTTGCCACGCTTGCCACGCTTGCCACGCTTGCCACGCTTGCCACGCTTGCCACGCTTGCCACGCTTGCCACGCTTGCCACGCTTGCCACGCTTGCCACGCTTGCCACGCTTGCCACGCTTGCCACGCTTGCCACGCTTGCCACGCTTGCCACGCTTGCCACGCTTGCCACGCTTGCCACGCTTGCCACGCTTGCCACGCTTGCCACGCTTGCCACGCCTGCCACGCTTGCCACGCTTGCCACGACTGCTACGACTGCTACGACTGCTACGACTGCTACGACTGCTACGACTGCTACGCCTGCTACGACTGCTACGACTGCTACGCCTGCTACGCCTGCTACGCCTGCTACCCTTGCTACGCCTGCTACGCCTGCTACGCCTGCTACGCCTGCTACGCCTGCTACGCCTGCTACGCCTGCTACGCCTGCTACGCCTGCTACGCCTGCTACGCCTGCTACGCCTGCTACGCCTGCTACGCCTGCTACGCCTGCTACGCCTGCTACGCCTGCTACGCCTGCTACGCCTGCTACGCCTGCTACGCCTGCTACGCCTGCTACGCCTGCTACGCCTGCTACGCCTGCTACGCCTGCTACGCCTGCTACGCCTGCTACGCCTGCTACGCCTGCTACGCCTGCTACGCCTGCTACGCCTGCTACGCCTGCTACGCCTGCTACGCCTGCTACGCCTGCTACGCCTGCTACGCCTGCTACGCCTGCTACGCCTGCTACGCCTGCTACGCCTGCTACGCCTGCTACGCCTGCTACGCCTGCTACGCCTGCTACGCCTGCTACGCCTGCTACGCCTGCTACGCCTGCTACGCCTGCTACGCCTGCTACGCCTGCTACGCCTGCTACGCCTGCTACGCCTGCTACGCCTGCTACGCCTGCTACGCCTGCTACGCCTGCTACGCCTGCTACGCCTGCTACGCCTGCTACGCCTGCTACGCCTGCTACGCCTGCTACGCCTGCTACGCCTGCTACGCCTGCTACGCCTGCTACGCCTGCTACGCTTGCTACGCCTGCTACGACTGCTACGCTTGCTACGACTGCTACGCTTGATAGGCTTGCTACGACTGTTACGCTTGATAGGCTTGCTACGACTGTTACGCTTTCTACGCTTGCTACGACTGCTACGCTTTCTACGCTTGCTACGCGTGCTACGCGTGCTACGCGTGCTACGCTTGCTACGCTTGCTACGCTTGCTACGCGTGCTACGCGTGCTACGCTGCTACGCTTGCTACGCTTGCTACGCTTGCTACGCTTGCTACGCTTGCTACGCTTGCTACGCTTGCTACGCTTGCTACGCTTGCTACGCTTGCTACGCTTGCTACGCTTGCTACGCTTGCTACGCTTGCTACGCTTGCTACGCTTGCTACGCTTGCTACGCTTGCTACGCTTGCTACGCTTGCTACGCTTGCTACGCTTGCTACGCTTGCTACGCTTGCTACGCTTGCTACGCTTGCTACGCTTGCTACGCTTGCTACGCTTGCTACGCTTGCTACGCTTGCTACGCTTGCTACGCTTGCTACGCTTGCTACGCTTGCTACGCTTGCTACGCTTGCTACGCTTGCTACGCTTGCTACGCTTGCTACGCTTGCTACGCTTGCTACGCTTGCTACGCTTGCTACGCTTGCTACGCTTGCTACGCTTGCTACGCTTGCTACGCTTGCTACGCTTGCTACGCTTGCTACGCTTGCTACGCTTGCTACGCTTGCTACGCTTGCTACGCTTGCTACGCTTGCTACGCTTGCTACGCTTGCTACGCTTGCTACGCTTGCTACGCTT